AAAATAAACTGCATTTGAAATTAGGTAGCACAATTCTCCACAATTAAAACACAAACCTTTACAATATATAATGAGAAGAAAGACCACACGCTGTCCCATGTAATTATTTGTAGCCTTCAAAAAGTGTGTCCAGCTCAGCACAAGAAAGTCTTAAAGAACTACCATAAACCTAAGACACTGTAGGTTACTGCCTACAACAGTTAAATTTAGAAAACAGAGTCATCTAAAGTTTTTCCTCCTTCCAATTTTGTCTGTTGTTTCACCAATTATGATCACAATTTTGCCTGCCAAATTCTGGATAAGTGGTTGGGAAAAACCACTGTAGGAAAAACCACCAGTGAAAGGAGGTTCCAGGCTTTCTGGCCGGACACAACAAAAACATGTATGCAGAACAGAAGCTGAAAACACTTGCTAGCAATGATGGATTTAAGTTATTAACAGATCAAAAAGAGATGGATGGTGGTTTGCTTTTCTTAATCTACATCATCATCTAGATCTATTTAAAGATACGTGCTACACTAACAAACTTGGTTAAGGTTTCGATAAAATCAGTAAAAATAATCTGCTCCGTTACATTGAGTCTGTATCGATCAATAAAATCACTTGTACAAGGAAAGTACTGTTAAGTACTGACAATCCCAGCCATTAATATTATTTAACACACTGTTCACAATCTTTAACGAGAACAAAGAACAGTTTGTCTCATGTTATAAGCGGGACTTTCATAGATTCTGTTACTTCTATAGGCTTCGCCGGTGATTTTAGGAAGTTCCAGTTGGACATCCCCATTCACTGGCCCCCTGGCCCACTCCTGAGCATACATAAAGGTCTTGATCTTTCCTTTTGTTGCAGTTTAAGGGATTTCCCTAGTAAGAAGTGAAGCTGCCATTATATCACTTCTTAGTCTGTTAAGTAAACTCAAAATCCTAGGGACCTGAGCTGTCGGCAAGCAGAATAGCACAGGCCTTCGGAGCTACGACTGCACCACCTCAGCTTTATCGGGGCCTTTTCCTCATCCGGGGCGGATGGAGGAGAAAATTTCATGAGTCTCCACCAGAGATGGATGGCTAGAGACAAAAATGCTTGTATATGACTTCAGAGCATGAAAACAGAAGGTGGAGGGAAAAGGATAAAGATATTTTACAGAGGGAGGAAATTTTTTTCTCCCCTTTACAGGTACCTAAGATTATATGTGTGGAAATGGTGTGAAAACTCCTCTCAGAAGTAAGACTGACTTAGGGAGAACTATAATTCTAAGATCTTAATTAGAAACCTGCTGTTCTAAGTGTATCCTTCGCAGTTTTGACTTCACAGTCCCCGCAGTTTATGGTGTGTAGTGGTTTGCAATTTTGCTGAGATGAGCAAAATCATGAAGACCTGAATCTCAGTTCTCTTTCATGTAGGCAGTTGCTCTCAGATAAAGTATGCCTACCCTGTAATCCTCAGGGTGATTAAAAAGCAAAAACCAAAAATTGTTGGGGATCTGCATAGAAAAGCTCCCTCAACAAAACCCAAATACTAATTGCTAGTATTTTTTAAAAGATAAAGAAAAGATGAAAATGAATGTCTGAGAAATGGCTCTGGGCCACACAACTGACATTGTAGGTAATTTCAGAGCAAAATGTCAGACTCGTAAATGGTGGACAGTCACGAGCAGTAAATCCACATATACAATGTCGTCTGAAAGTACTACAAGTGAGGCAGATTTCTTAACTCCACTGGACTTTGGACCTCAGTTTCTCCATCTCTAAAATAAAATGGAAGGTGGGCCTATCTTAGGAAATGTGGGCACTGCACATGGTCCAGAATGTATGAGCTGTTCCTTGGACAAGAGGAGAAGCCGCTTTTCTGGCCCTCTTAAGAGCTAAGCCACAGGCCTTCATAGTGGCTCAGTGTGTTGAGCGCAGCACTGTGAAGCTGTCCGCAGCCTTTGTAGCACGGGTTTGATTCCCGGCCGGCCAAGGAGATTCCCACATGGCACAGCAGACCTCTCCTGTCTCGCCCGCTGCTCCCCTCAGCAGTGTATTTCGGTCGATCTGCCTGTTCTGTTCCCCACTCTGTCTCTGGTGAATCCTCTCACGCCCCCCAACCCGTGCCTCTGGCCTGTACCCCAGCTCTTGTATAAATAAAATAAATCTTTAAAAAAAAAAAAAAAAGAGCAAAGCCATCATGTTTCATGGGTAATCACGAAAATAACTGCAGGCAGGAGGCATAAATTTCCTGTGAGCTTTCAGACACCATCACCTTGTGGGATTAATGCTATCTCAGAACCAGAACCTGAAATCTTCTCCAGTTCATGCTGAGATGGGATAGCTTCAGGATGGTGCCTACTGAGAGAACCTGGGGGCACTGACACCTGGGGTTCATATTGGTTCTGAAGGTGCATAGGAGTCAGATAGGTGAGCATGTCTAACTTCTAAAGCAACTTAAATCATATGATCCAGCAATTCCATTCCTAGTAATCTACCCAAAGAACACAAAAACACTAATTAGAAAGGAAACCTGCACTCCTGTGTTTACTGCAGCACTATTCACAATAGCCAAGATATGGAAGCAACCCAAATACCCCAAAACAGAGGAATAAATCAAGAAGATGTGGTGTATATACATGATAGAATACTACTCAGTGATCAAAAAAAAATATAAATAAACTCATGGCATTTGTGGCAATATGGATGGAAAGGGAATGGATGATGCCAAGCAAAATGCATCAGAAGGAAAAAGATAAATATTGGATGGTTTCACTTAGATGTAGAAACAAGAGAAAGTGAACATACAGTCAGGAAAAAGACCAAACTTGCAAGCTGACCCTAGATCTGAGGCACACAGCACTGGAGAGGAGAGAGAGGGGTCAGGACTGGGGGTATGGGGGGAAGAGCATAAGGAACAGGGGAGCTGGATCACGGGGGCTGAGAGAGAAATATGGGGACCACACCTGAGGGGAGATATCAAATAATGTCAAAAAATTAACAACTGTGTAAGGCAATAAGTAAATTAATTAAAAAAATTAAAAACAACAAACACCAAACGTTATCAAGAAGTGATGATCAGGCCAGGGTATTTGTTTCACTTGGGATGGATCAAGCCCTCCCATGCGTCTTTGCGTCTCTGTAGCTCCCACTGCCTGGGGACAGAATTGGGAAAAGGGAGCAGAGAACGCTCTCTGGAGCTCTTTGGGCACTTACGCAAGGGCAGACTGGATGTTAAATGTGCAGCAGGAAGCCAGCCCTCTCAGCCGTTCGGCCACATCTTTCAAGCCCTATTTCTGAGAATAGAAAAATTCTAAGCTCAATTTGAGAGTCACTGTAAACTCCCCTCTGCGCCAGATGATTTTACCCGCATATTTATATCCAAAGTACAAACAACTGAAAATGTTTACACGGAGTAGGAATGGAAGTCATGCGTCAAATACAATGGGAGGAAGACAGTAAAGCTTTCTTCAGGATTAAAGCTTGAAGATATACAATATCTCTGGAGAATCTGGTTTACAAATAACAGTGCATTATTTACATATTCCACTTAACTATAGAGAATAGACATTTTTACCCTTTGCATACAAAGTCTAAAGTCTCTTGTTTTTCGTTTTGTTTTGCTTTGGTTTGGTTCTGCTCTTCAGTATCGCCTGAAGCTCTGGAAGTCTCATAGCCCCACAGTCTCCAGGAATAAGACCATACATTTTCCTATCATTTGTGGTCCTTGTTTCCTTTCATGCCTCTCTCCCAGTGAGAGGCAGTGTAGGAACCTTAACCATGTCCAAAAGCAGAAGAGCAAAAACAGGTAAGGGAGTCCCTCTTAGAGGTTCCCAGCCCGTCACCCCATATGTTAGCATTCCGATTTGAGCACTGTGAAGACCAGGCCAACTACAGGAGGCCATGAACATGTTCTTGGTATCTTTTTACGGGGAGACAGTCCTCTCAAGATATCACTAAGTACACATCTGTGGGGGTGATGTCTCAGCTTCTGATCACCAGGGACTTGGGTACCACCTCTCAGAAAAGCTCAGCAGAGGAAATAGTGGCCTGGCTTCATACAGTCCAGTACACAGGACAGCCCAGCACACAGACCAGGTCCCACTCTAGAGTTCATGCTGAAATGGGTGACAAAGATAATGAAGGAAGAACAGTCACGGCTGCCCATTTGTTTGATGTAACAAGTGTCAGATGGATATATGACCACAGCGACTTTGTAACTCTTAAGTGAAGTCTGGTTCCCCTCTTGGCCAAGCTCACTCCTGTCATACTCATGTGTCAGCCTCTCCAAGGACTCAGTGTCCTACTGAATACAAGCCCTGGCCCCTCAGCTCTTGGCCTGCACAGAGCAACTCGGATGGTGATGGTCTCACTGAACATCCACCTGAGGTCTCTGGCCCTTTCTGTTTTGAAATTCAGAGAAGCTGACACTGCACCAAACTGCCCTTTGCTTTTTCTGTCACTTGGCAAAGAAAGTGCTTTCATCTTATCTTTCTGAGGCAATTCTGCTTGCTCCTCTCAGCTGCAAAACAAAAGACCACCTTAATGCATTCTTTTCAAAACACAGACATTCTGATTTTCACAGAATCTGGCACTTCCTGACCAGCAATTTTTACACACTCATTCTCAGTTTGATTCCCAAGAATGAAAATTCTGTTTCTCTCACTGTCTCCCCAATAACCAACACCTGAAGGAAAAGCTATGAGGAAGTACAGGAAAACAAAAAACAAAACCAAAGTAAATTGTGGAATCATACTTAAAATAACTGGATAGATCCTATCCACATTAGTTTTTATCTTTCTATCGTTTTACCTTTCTACTCAATTTTTACTTCCTTCATCTATTTAAACAATTTTAAACAGAACCTAATTAAAGCTAAAGAAGAAACCAACAACATATTTCTAATTTGAAACTTTAGAATGTTTGGTTGCTTGATATGTTTTTCCATCTTACCCATAAATTCTAAGAAAAATATTGAAATAGAATTACTTATTATACATTATATTAACTGAGGATCTAAACACATCTTACCTGTAAATATGTTTCCAAACCTTGTCTTCGTTGCTCCAAGACTTTTGGTACCCAGTTCCTCACATGTTTAGAAGGAATTTCTGGAGTTTTTATACATTTCTTAAGCTATAAAGGAAAAAAAAGTCTCTTGAATATAGACATTATTTGTGGCAAAAATAAAAGCCAATAAAAGAAAGTGAATACTGCTATCTCATAAGAAGAGAGGAAAAGAAAACTAACACTGAAATTTTGTCAAAAAGTTCTTCACTTAGCTGTCTTAAATTTTTGGTTTTTAGGATGTTTTGTCTTTGGCAATTGTTTCTATTGTTGATATTAGCTGGTATTTCAGGTTGGAATTAGTGTTTCTGAAAAACTAAAAGTTCCAGACATGAATTTATAAAAGAAGTAAAGCATTTTATATTTCCAGACATTGATTAATGCAATGATATGTATTTGGACAAAGCACTTTTCTGATGAAAAATCTTTCTACATATTTTTTTTCACATAAAAAAACAAAACAAAGCAGTTGTTTATAACCATCATCCCTGCAAATGCCACATGAACTAGACCACCCCATATGGAGAGTTTCTTGAAAGTTCTGAATAAAACTAATAGAAAGAACTAAAAAAGAGACTGATCCTTTCAATATTCTTAAAATTAGGACCAAATTCTGTTCATGAAAAGTGAATGATGGTTCTCGGCTAATCCCTTCTGGGCAGCAGTCTAAAGGGACGATATAAATAAAGAGAAATGCTATTGGTAGACACATCCTACCACATTCACATCCAACGCCTGTGAATCTTACCTTACATGGTAAGGTACTTAGCATGTGAAACTAAACTAGGGATCTGCACAAGGGAAGATGATCCTAGATTTTCCAGGTGGGATCAACATATTCATAAGGATTATTCAAGAAGGCAGGAGGATCAGAGTCAGAGACTGGAAGATGCCAAGTGGCTGGGTGACTTCCAGAAGCTGGAAAAGGAGAGGGAATGGATTCCCCTCTGCAGCCTGTTGATGCCTTGATTTTAGCCCAGTGACACTCACTTTTCTTGCTAAGTGAGATAATCAAACTCCTACTTCTTTAAGACACCTAGTCAGGTTGCTAGTATATCCAATCAAAGGTAATCCTGTCATAAAGGAATAAATGGGGGCTCCCTGGTGGCGCAGTGGTTAAGATGCAACCTATGAAGCTATCTGCAGCCTCTGCAGCACGAGTTCGATCCCTGGCTGGCCAGGGAGCTACCCACATGGCGCAGTAGACCTCTCCTGACTTGCCCGCTGCTCCCCTCAGCAGTGTATTTCAGTCAGTCTGCCTGTTGTGCTCCCCACTCTGTCTCTGGTGGGTGCTCCACCCCCCATACTTCTGGCCTGTACCCCAGTTCTTGTATGCATAAATAAATAAATCTTAAAAAAAATTAAGGAATCAATGGTTCAGTTATGGTGACTGAGAGAAGCCCAGCAGCTGTACAGGTAAGGAACCAAAATCCGCCCAAAATAGCTCAGAAGCCCAAACTTCAGCTGAGACCCTAGCGAGGCCACACCTGACTTGCTGCCTGGTAAGGCAGACGGCCCAGGAAGCTGTGTCAGACTCCTGACCCATGAACACACAGAGATCATACATTTGTGTTGTTTTAAGCTGCTAAATTTATGAGATTTGTACATGCTACAAAGGGAACGCGTGCAAGGGCAGGGTCTGGGGCCTCCAGAGTCAAGAGGCAGGGAAGAAAAGCCAGGAGGTAGGGAAGAAACGGGGAGATACGGGAGGTTCAGTGGAAGAGTGCTCCCAGGATGGGCTGAGCCAGCCCTGCAGGGGAGACGGGGAAGTCACCACAGCAGGGTAAAGAGAAGTGGGAAGTGGGCTTTATCTTGTTACGTGGGAAATATTATAGTATGTTCATTTATTGATGAGATGGATCCAGTATTGAGATGGTAAAGGAAAAGGAAGGGGAAAAGAAGGATATATGTCTAGTGCATAATATATATATCTGTAGGTGAAATATATATTGCGTATGATAATATATATTATCTGTAGGTGACCTCTATTGTGTATGATAATATATATTATCTGTAAGTGATATATATAGTATACGATAATATATATGATCTGTAGGTGATATATATATACAGTGCACGATAATATATATATATATTATCTGTAGGTGATAGACATATTGTGCATAATATATATTATCTGTACGTGATATACATACTGTGCATGTATATATACATATATGTGTATTATTATGTGCCAATATTTACTTTCAACAGAAAGAAGCTTCCTTGAAAACTATGGTATCACCACATTTCTTAAATTTCAGAAGAGAAAAGCTATTCCATTATCTGCGCTTTTTTAAAATTTTTTTTTTTTTTTAAATCTTGAGGCTACCGTGCTGAAAAAACTTTTCCTTTTTATTTATGTCAGGAGTCCCGAGGAGGCCGGTCATCGTAGTTGCCGGCATCAGTGACAGCACGTGCAGGTGAGTAATGAATTGATTAGATGAGGAGCGACAAACCCAAGACAATATGTTTCCAGGAGGGCTCAGCTGCTTGTAAGATAAATACTCCGGTGCCACTCCATCCGATGATTAACTGCTCTGGCCAGGCCGTGTCCAGGCACACGCCTTCCTGATCCACGCAGATAGCTCCCAGATTCCTCGATACCACACACACAATCTCCTTGGCCTGGCGTGGCCTCTCTCTCTCTTCTGCTGTAGACTGTTAGGAGAGTTTACACAGAACTGACTCCAACTAGACCTGCCAGCATCTACATCGGCCAGAGGAACTGTTTTTTCCACAGAAAGGATCAGAAATACTTGCCCCAAGCACAGGGATTAAAAAGTTGGAGAAGAAAAAAAAAGTTAAGGGAAGGAGAGGGCATTCCATCTCTTCCACCATATTGTCACCCCTTTATCCTCGGGGTCCCCATGAGAGACCCACGTGGGTGCTACCCTCCTGGTTTAGCCCCCTGTGGCAGTGTTTTGGTTCTTCTGAAATGTGCACTTCATTAAATTAAATATGAGAACCCGATCTTCTACCCAAGCCAACAGCAGGAAATAGCAAGAATGAGGACAGCTAATTCAGAAATGAACCAGCACCATATTTCCCGGAAATCTCTGTGAATAAAAGGCTGGGCCAGAACTGACAGGAACCAGCTGGGAAGACACTCCAACCATGCTCAGCAGTACAGGGCAGGGATGGGGGGTCTGGGGGGCTTTTCTCCCCTTGCCATGACGTCGGGGCTGGGGAGGGGACCACCATCTACAGTGGACGACCGGGCTGCAGTGCATAGGTGTTGCTCGACATGGAACTGGCACTGATAAGGTCAAGCTCACCTGTCCCCACAGCCTGGGCTGGGGCAGTCCAGAGGGCACCCTACAATTTTATTTTCTTAAAGGGATACTGTGGTTCTGAGGGAACAGAGAGGAACAGGGTGGGGGGTGGTTTTGGTTTCACGTGGCGGTGTTTTTCCATCTAGAACTCACCGAGGAGGAGTCGCTGAGGAAACAGGGCAGGTGTAAGAGGGGTTAAACGTCTAGTGAACTCAACTCCCACAATTGAGACTTCTTCCCAACCAAAACATCCAATAATTCATAAGTATGCACAGTGTTCTCCAAACAGCCCCTTAGCCAAATACTTTTGTGGTGCCTAATAGGAGCTCGGCACTGGCAGTCAGTGAGGAAGACACAGAGAAAAAAGCCATGGTCCCGGCATTAAGAAACCTATCTTCTGGTTAGATAGAACTCTGAGATGTTTTAATTGTTTATTTTTTTTTTAAGATTTATTGTTTTTATACGAGAACTAGGGTACAGGCCAGAGGCATGGGAGAGTAAGAGGATTCACCAGAGACAGAGAAGGGAGCAGAACAGGCAGACGGACTGAAGACACTGCTGAGGGGAGCAGCAGACAGGACAGGAGAGGTCTGCTGTGCCTTGTGGGTATCTCCCTGGCCAGCAGAAATTGAACTTGCACTGCAGAGGCTGCAGACAGCTTCACAGCGCTGTGTTCAACCTGCTGTGCCACCAGGAAGGCCCTGTTTAACGTTTTTAATTTAAATAGAGATTTCTATGCAAAATGGAGCAGGCTTCTGTTCAAGAGTAGAGAGATTAGCGGAGAAAGAAACTTACAGGAGAGCAGGAAAAGCTGAAAAGGTTTATCTGGGTCTAGACAGACAGGAACACAGAGGGAGGCCACTTCCCATGGCAAAGATAGAGGCAGGGGTTTGCATACACTTCGGGGAGCGGAGAGGTGACTTGATTGCCACTGGCATTTTCTTAGGAGAAGCAGTGACAAACAAGCTGGTCAATAAAGGGGCTTGGGGAAGACGGAATGATGCCCGCCCCCCCAAAAAAAAGATGTTCACATTGCAGTGTGATTAAATCAAGCATCCTAAAATGGGGGATTATCCTAGATGATCCAGGCAGTTCCAATGGGGGAGGCGGAGTATCAACGTGGAGAGAGAAGAGGTAAGAACAGGAGAGGTGAAGATGGAGGCACAAGCTGGATGGGTTACTGCTCACTCTGAAAGTGGAAGGAGGCCACAAGCCAAGGAATTTGGGCCACATCTAGAAGCTAGAAAAGGCAAGGAAACTGACTCTCTTGAGCTCCCCAGAAGCAACACTGCCCTGCTGGCACCCTTTAGCGTGAAAGCGGACGTGTGTGGCCTTAGGACAAGTTTGCAGTGATTTCTTACAACAGTAGTAGGAAATGAAGGTAGGGCTTATGATTATAGGCCTGAGAATCAATGGCCATGATATGGCAGAGAGCACAGACTCATTCCAAAGTATGGGAGTGAGAGAAGATACGAAAATAGCATATTGGGGAACTTGGTCTGTGAGAGAATGAGTAAGAAAACAAGGATCAGAAGTGATTAAAGCAACACCTACCTAAGGTAGCAAGACACTGGACTGCAATGGTAGGAATAGAAAATGAAAAATTAAATGGTACATATTATAAGTTTGAAAAATGAAGCAACAGGACTCGTGACACTGGACATGGGAGGTAAAGGAAAAGTAGGAAAGACCTTTCTTTTCCAGGCTTTCAAACCTCAAGGTTTTTGTGCATTGAGCAGGGGAGGGTGGGAAGGTTATACCTGAGAGATGTCTTTTAAAAACATAACTACACAGGAGGAATTCTCAAATTTCAACAGGCACTGAGATCGTCTGGGATGCTGGTTTTAACAGGCAGACTCCTGGGTCCATCATAAAGCCTGTGAGTGATTCTGCATGCCTGGCCGATACCTGAGAGTCTGTGCTTTAACAAACTCTGCTCTGATTTATATGAATCAAAGCTCACCCTTTGAAAAATGCCAATCTAGAAAAACTTAAAGAAAATGGATTCAAATATTCATTGTAGCCCTCGAAGTAATGACTCAAATAAGTTCTGAAAGAGTGCAACCATATATTAGACAACACAACAATGTTAACTTTCTTTAAATTTTCAGTGCCAAAGATACTGTGGGCAAATGGCTACTAGTAATAGGCCTCAAAAACTAATGAGTAAAGAAAAAAAAAATGATACCTGGTAGATAAACCAGCAATTCCAAAGAGAGGGACAATAACTTATGTTATATATAATATATATTATTTGCTAAATAAATCTAATTTAGGATTGATTAGGGAGTTTTACTCAAAGGTGATGACAGGCTATGGATATTTTATTTTCTGTTTGATTATAAATCCGTAAATCTGCTATAATTATTTCAAAAGTAATTTGGAGATTATATATAATATATAATATATATGATATATATATATATATAATCTATCAACTCAGAAGCTGCACAAATAACCACACTCTTTGACAAAGAACACTCCCTTTTGTAATCTAGCTTAAGGAAACAATTTTGAATATGGTAAAAACATGCGTATGTAAAAAGGTTATCAGTTACTGGAAGTTAGCCATGTGATACAAATGATCTCATCTAGCCTGAACATCAATCCTGGGAAGTTAGTATTCTAATTATTCCACACCACAAATGGAAGCCTGGAGCACAGACAGATCATGTAACTTGTTCAAGAATTTAGCACCAGGAAGAGGTAAAGGCAGGCTCAGGACATTCTGCTTCCAGAATGTTCTGCACACGTAAATCCTACAGCACAGTTGCCACCATGTGTGAAAATGTCTAACACAGCAGCATCTGTCTCATTAAAAAAATGCAAGAAAAGAAAAAGGAAAATAGGAATTGTAACAGGATAGTAGAAATACATCTGGTAAGAGAGGGTTATTTCTCCTGCCCCAAATTTTCTGCAAGATCTAGCTATTTGGGGCCTCCCTAGTGGCTCAAGGGGTTGGTTCACAGCACTATGAAGCTATCAGCAACCACTGCAGCATGAATTTGATCCTCAGCCAGGGAGCTAACACACATGGCACAGCAGACCTCTCCTGTCTTTCCCGTAGCTCCCCTCAGCAGTGTATTTCAGTCTGCCTGTTTGCTCCCCACTCTGTCTCTGGTGAATCCTCTCACCACCCCCACTCCATGCCTTTGGTCTACACCCCAGCTCTTGCCTGCATAAATAAATAAATAAAATGAATCTTAAAAAAAAAAAAAGATTTAGCTGTATGATCTAAAATTTAATGGAGGGGAGGGAAATCATGCACATAGAAGGAAAAAACTCTTGATTTTCCCCCCAAATACAGAAAGGAAGAATGTAGGCAGTTGGGATATTGTTTTCATAGGTTAATATCAACAATCCCAAAACTGTGGGAGAAATAATAGCCATTTAGAGGGACTTTCTCCAGATAGCCAGTCAAGCTGTCAAATAGGTAATTGTTTTAGTTTCTGCCTCAAAATGTGCCTGCAGATAAGCCAGGAAGCATTTTTGCATGTCTGTGATACATGTGGAGGCGATGTGCATTTTTCTCTAAAACGGCAAAGCACTGTTAAAAGCACATGTATTCTCTGAGAATTAACTTGGGGACTTTAGCCAAACACTTTTAACAAGAGTGAAACGCAACAGAAAATGAAAGAAAGTCAGGACACTGGCAAGAGGTGAGTATTTAAAAAAAAAAAAAAGTAAATGAGAATATCTGTAAGTGCATTCATATGGCAACTATGGAAATTGCAACCACAAAATCATAATGAAAGGATAACGTTGCATGACATGGCAGGAACCATCAGTAAAGTTATGTAACCTGGCTAAATGTTTTTTGTCCACTTTAATTCCTAACATAGAATTATACAGATAAAGAGTTTACACAGAGATTAGATTTGTTTATTTTTCTACCTTACCATTATTTTTACTTGTCTTTGCCAAATCTAATATAACTACAGCAGGGCAAGTACTGGAGACTTCAAGCAGCAGTTCTGCTCCACACTATACAGTACATAAAATGAGATAGCGCAGCCCAACTAAAACCCTGCCCCACAAAGCTATGTTTGTGTCTGTGTCCCTGTAAGGATGCTTGAACAAGGCTGCTAAAAGCAAGCACTATTAGAGATCTGAGAGTTTCTGCTGTATTAAGTCTGCTAGACCTGATAAGAATATTAGCTAAACCGATGAACAGAACTGCAAAATCAGAGACAAGTGTCTTAGGAAATCTAGGTATTTTTCCCTGACTGTTGTGAGTATCTAAGAACTGCCTATGGACACTGGGGAGGGGTTCCTCTTCTGCACGAGAAAATAAATGGCATTAGAAGAAAGATCAGGGTAAACAACACTATGGTGGAAAAAAAGCGTGGGCGGCCTCCTGCTCCAGAAGGGCCTAATTGGCCTCATCCAGCTGTGCTTCGCGGGGAGCTGGCCCCCAGTACCTGGCGGGGACAGCTGGGCGGTGTCAGGTCATGCAGAGCTGGGCGCTGAGCTGGGGGGTGAGGGACGAGGCGCGCACAGGACCGCTGGCCATCGAGACTGGCAGGGGATGGAGCTCTGGTTTTCATCTCATGGCGAAGGACTATTTTATGAGGTGCTCAGCGGCCTGCTCTGCAGAATCTAAGTTTCCTCAAAAAAAGGAAATAAAACCAGGATTCCACAAGAGGGAAGTGAGACCCAGACTTCAGCTTTGTTTCTCTTTGAGGCCCTGGGCTGGTGCTTTCATAAAAGTCAGTGGGTAAGAGCCGCCTGAATCTGTGCGCACCTGAACTGTTTCTCCTGGAAGGAAACCTGGACTGGATGAGATTTTAACTAGAGAAATGAATGTAAAATTCTCTCTTCTCAGCCTAAGAGGAGAGGGTATATATATTTAGGTGCTCCCCTTTAGAAAAAAAGGCAAAAGGAAACAATTTTTCAGTAATATTCTGTTAATGTTTATACTCAATACTCTGTTCACCTTAAAATGGGGAAGAATTTTTATTTGAAATAATGACAAAAAATTTTAATTCAGAATAAACACATTACCAGGCACACATCACTTACATAAACATTTCTCAGAGGATTTAAGAGGTCTTCAGTGAGATGAAAAGACTCTTTAACATACTTTCTTAATATCTTCCCATCTAACTTCTAATCTAACAAAGCATCAAAAGTGAAGAGATTTAATTATGTCACATATTTTATGTGCATATGAATGTGTCTATACATAAAAATACATACAGTATATAAGCAAATATATATTTATATATACTCATAAAATATACATACGAACCATGTATGTATACATTCATAAATATGTACATTATATACTGCAGATCTATAGATATTTATTATGTATACATATTACATGCATAGATAAAATATACACATACACATATCCACACATATGTGTGGATACATATACCGATACCATATAGACACATAAACCTATATAACCAAAAGAAAAAAAGTGGTAAAATTATATTGACTCATCCATGGTGATGGCAGGTTCATGGGGTATTTCTAGTTATCATGGTAATTTCACCATCCCAATATTAATTTAAGCCTGCAAAACATTCCAATTTTGTAGATAAGAAAAATATTCCCTCTTCTATTCTTTACTGGTCATTTCTTCAAAAATTCAGCTCTTCTTTTGCATTCTTATTTATCTCAGACCTGTAATGGCTCAGTATTTAGGGAGCGACCCTTCACAATTCACAAGACCACTTTGTCCTTTTACGTGTCTCCCACACAGTCCTGGGACACATGTACAGTCTCTTTTCTAGGTGCATGTATGCATAAGTTGAATTTCATGTATGTTTCTCTATAAAATGGTCATTTGCATGTTTCTCCTTTTCCTAAAGCACACTGAGACTATTTCATGGACAAAACAGGCGCTGGGTCTTCTTACTCTTTCTGATCCTACAATACCCAGTGCTCTACGGCCTCACATCTATTTGTGTAAAAGATTTTAACAGAAAACATACCTGTAAGGGGCTAGATGTTTTATGTTAAGAGGAAACTTACTTCATGATAAAAGAAATCTTACTGTACTAAGAAATATTCATGCTCTTGGGTAGCAAAGAATGTAGTCTTTTTTTTTTTTTTTTTTTTAAATAGAGGCATGTTTTTTATTTATTTATTTATTTATTTGTTTGTTTGTTTATACATGCACTGGGTACAGTCAGAAGCGCGGGAGGGTGAGAGAATTCACCAGAGGCAGAGCGGGGAGCAGAGCAGGCGGAAGGACCGAAGTACACTGCTGAGGGGAGCAGCGGGCGGCAGGAGAGGTCTGCGCGCCATGTGGGACCCTCCTCTGGTGGCCGGGGAGCAGCCGGGGATCGAACCTGCGTCGCAGAGGCTGCGGGCAGCTTCGCAACCCAGCGCTCAACCGCTGCGCCACCGGGGAGGCCCAAAGAATGTAGTCTTAACATTACAACATCTGCCATACACAGAAAAGCAAAAAAAAAAAAAAAAAAAAAAAAACAAAACACACACACACACACAAAAGAAGTTACCTTTTTATGCAAGGCATGAAATTCGCTGTACCTTTTTTCAACAAAGTGTTTTCTTCCATTCATTAGCACTTCTATCTTAAACACCTAAGGAAAAAAAAATTAAAAAGATTAATTCCACCAGTTCAAAACCCTCAATTGTCTGAGCTGGAAAGTTTGTGACCATGATATATTTCATCCCTTTAATTACAGTAGCTGATCCCCCCAAACCAAGAAGGCTCAAGAGACCCTGCCCAACAACACTGATTAATGAGCACTCGGGCCAAACGCTAGCTAACAAACTGCAGTCGAGTACATGTCTAAAAACCACAGAAAGTTAAATGCCTTAAAATGCTGTTTAACTTTTTAATCAGAGAACATTCTTCCCTTAAAATGTTTCACCAAGCGAATATAATGGTATTGAAATAAATATCTGATGCAACAGTGACCACTAAAAGCCTCAGGCGGGGACATTCCACGTGGACTTTTTTCAAGGAGGGCAGGGCTGTGTCACTCGTGACACCCTCATGCAAACACTCATGCATTCTGGGTTAATTTCTTCCTAACCTGCATATTCATCTCTAGTCTCAGCTGGGCTCATCCTGCTGTTTGCAAAACAGGGAAGAGGCAGTAAAGATTCATTTTCCCTGCGTGATCTGAGTGACAGCTTGTGTTCCTACCTCCAGAAGGTTGAAAGGCCAGAGGAGAGGCGCGCTGGGCACGCTAATTAGTAGGCACCAACATGACATTTTCTGGATTCTTAGGTCAGTGGGTCAAGACTGGAACTGGGGCTGAGAAATACTGTGAAATGTTCATGAAAATACAGTGTCACAGGGGTGCAGGGAGGAAGGGACGGAGGATGTGTGGCAGGACTGAACAGAAGGTGTTGGTGATTTCCAGGAGTTTGTGTCTGAGCCCTGTTTGGTGGAGGGGGTTTGTCAACGCCAGCATGAAGCAATAGTGTCCAATGACGTGCTATGCCCAAGTTGCTGTTTCAATTGCTCTTCTGAGAAAAACATCACTAAACTAACATTGAGCTCACATGACACCGGAGAGTGTGAAAAGCATGACTGCTTTAGCCCAAAAAAGAATGACTTAGCATAGGACAGACAAGGTCACACACCTTCAGTAGGAAGAAACAGATTTTATAGCTCCATATTTCTGCTCATGTGAACAACCTTTATTTGGCTTATTTTGAATTGAGATACATTGGTTGACAACACGGTACATGATTTAGAGGTGCAGGATCTCCCCCTTCAGGTGCATGCTATCACACCACACCCCCCACCCAGACCCCCAGTCTTCCACCCTAGTCCACTGTGCCTCTTCCCCCTTCCTTCCCCACCTTCCCTGTCCCCTCAATTCTACAGTCAGATGAAATACAACTTTTTTGAGAAAGCAGATATTATGCTGTCAAACCTAAGACGTGTAAACCTATTGTAAAATGTTCTGGGAACCATCCTGTAGGGGCAGAAAGGTCCAGAGCAGGATCTCTACTATCAAGCAGATGGGGTAAGGCGGAGTCCTAGAGCCCTGGGTAGCTTTTGCAGGCTTTTATTGGGATTTACCAGGTACACAGCGGGCAAGGGTGCCAGGAGCTGGGAAGCTGGCAGGCCACCCAGCCCCTGGCGAGTCTTCACTCTTCCTGGGCTCTCCGGCATTCTCTTGAGGCCTCCACTTCTCTTTCGCTCTGCTGTTCCTTTTGCTCTCTTTCTCGTGGTTCTGCTTTGCTCTCCTGGCATCCCTGTGATGCCGCCCTTATAAGCCCAGTCTTAGCCCAGGTGTACCCACTTATGCATGCCCACACTCTACTCCAGGGCCCGCCATCAGGCATGCATTCAGGACCACAAGGATCCATCATCAATTCTAATGGCGGGAGGGCAGAAAAGCCTGATGCTTTTTTACCTTACCCTACAGATCCCCTCCCTGGTCTGGCAGACAAGCATGTGGAGCCATCTGCCTAGACTTCAAGTAGCAACACAAAGTCTGCTGCTGGTGGGTAAAGTCAGCCTTCTCCACCCCCACCGAGGACCAGGAGCTGGTCAAAGGACACTTGGACTCGAGGTAACAGTCTTAGCATCTCACCTTGCATTCCTCAGGAAGGAAAGGATTTCAACTACAGCATTTCCCCTCCTGTTTGCAGAGATAGCATCAACGTAGCTTTAGGTCAAAACACCTTGGGATCAGAAGCCTCTAGTCAAGAATAATAATTACACTTTCAATGTCAAGGACATACTGTTCCTATTTATGTAAACTAAACCCAAACTTGGGATTGTTGAGACAGCTCTCAGAATATATACCCTGTCAGACTGCTCCCAGGTTCAAATCCTTGCTTTCATTATCTAACAAACTATCATTGAGGCTCTTACTCCAGTTAACAATGTGTGTGTGTGTGTGTCTGTGCTCCTTCATATGAGAAAATTCTTCTGTTGTGTAACTTGGTTTAAGAAAACTGCTTAATGAAATAACTGGTAATTTCTTTTACCAATTTAATTAATGTTTTATATACTAATGCTTGGTTTTTCAAGAATTTTCCCTAAAAAATACTTTTCTCTGGTGAATTAGTCAAATATTTTCTTCTAAAAACATATGCATATGCTTCAAATTCTCAGATAAACATGCATTTTTTTAAGGAAAGAATATTCTGTGTACTAATTCACTAAAGAAAATTATTCTTCTTCAAAGACCCTGCCAGAAATAGAATGAGAAAAACACCCTGAGAAACACAAACAAAAGCAGCACAGTTTCAACTTGGGGGCTTTGTTAATAGGATACAGAGCACCCTTTTTAGTGTTAGGTCCCAGATTTAAATCAGCACAATGTGGGAGCAATGAAAGTAGTTTCCATCTGCTGAGCTGGATGAAATAAATGAAGTTATGTTCTCAGTCCAGTTTCTTGAAGCTTCATTACTAAAACCACCACTTTAAGAGCATGTTTGCTGCAGAATCCACAGGAGAAAGTTGCAAACTTAAGCCACCCAACCTAGTAGGTCACCCTCAAGGTGGTCCCTCTTGAGGGCCAGGACACATTACGCAGTGGCTGCCTTGCAGAATGTCACCCTTTCTATGGACCAGATGATTCCATCACCAAGTTCTACAGTTTTTCCTCGTAACACTGAATTCATGGAGGGCAGGGTAGAGGGAAAGACACACACACACACACACACACACACACACGAAAGTGGGTGATAATTTGAATTGAAATATTTTTATTATGTTGTCATTTGCAAATGCACATCATACCTAATATCGTCAAGACTTTTTTCTTTCAAATTATGGGAAAACATTTTGGGAAGGAAGCTGGTGAATCAGAATTTCCATGACAATGTGAAGCAAGAAATGGAGTCAATTTAATAAATCTTATTTTCCTTAATTTCATACCAGATTTTTTTCATCTTTCTAAGTTTCTCATAAATGTTGTCCCACTGCCTGGAAAACCCTTTACTTGTTTTGCTTTCTGGCAAACTCCAAATAGTCATTATCTGCCTCGAAAGGGGGGGGATGGTCAGCAATGACGGTGTTTGGAATACACAAAGCATGGTATCTGACACTCATTCATTTATGTATTTAACAGATATGCATACAAGAAATGGGGCCTGTAATATGTCCAGAAGTTGTTCTAGGCTCTGGGGATTCAGCTGCAAACACGACAGACAAGAACATACCCTATCTAGTGAGGGAGGGCTACTATAAACACATGGCCAAACATGGTGCGGTGAAGAAATAAATGCTGTGAGGGGCCTCCCTAGTGGCGCAAGTGGTTAAGTCGCAACCTGTCTTAATCTGTCTGCAGCCTCTGCAGCACGAGTTCTCTCCCTGGCCAGGGAGCTACCCACATGGTGCAGCAGACCTCTCCTGTCTCACCCACTGCTCCCCTCAGCAGTATATTTCATCAGTCTGCCTGTTCTGTTCCCCACTCTGTCTCTGGTGAATCCTCTCACCCCCACACCTCTGACCTGTACCCCAGTTCTTATATGCATAAATAAATAAATCTTAAAAAAAAGAAATAAATGCTGTGAAGAACAATATAATGGGGGTGAAGAGGCAGTGCTGGGCCAGGTGCTGATCCACACGCTGTGGTCAGAGGGGGCCTTCCTGAGGAGAGGCAGCAAGAAGCACAGAGCCTGGAGGGACACCAGGGAGAGGCATGAACAAGAACTGAACAGGCTGCCCCCAAGATTTGAGTCTGAAAGAGGGCAGAACAGGACTAATTGTTTTCATTCCTATTTTTAGAAAATCTTTTTAAAGTTAAAGCCTAGAGTAGGGTGATCTCTACTTTCGGCCAAGATGGAACATCAGGGAATCCATTTACCTGCCCACTCCCAACAACTTAAAAATCCCCAAAAATATTTGGGGAAATGACTCTCAAGGCATTGGGAGGAAGAAATGAAGGGCAGAGAAGGCAGGGAACCAACAAGGCAGGCCCTACAATCACTCCGAAGCTGGGCTCTAGGGTCCCTGAGTCAGGGTGGGGGAGACGGTGCTTTGAGGTCTTAGCCCAGGTATTGGAGAGGAGTGAACTATATTCAGAGAGGACCTCCAAGACCTTCCAGAGCTTTCCCTCCAGCATTCAGCTGAACCCTTTTCAGCACAAGGGACTGGGGACCCTGCCCAAGGGTGGAGATTAGAGAGGACTATGCTCAGAGCTCACAGGCAACTGGGAATCCAGCATCTGCTCCCAAAAGCTGGAGCATAAGAAGACATTAGAGGACACAGAAGGGTCTTGCCTTCATATTGGGGCAAATTACCTGCACTGTGAACACTCTTTTCAGTCCAGTTTAATGATGTTTAAAGCAAGACCTGAAGAGCAAACTGCTGTGTCTACCTCAACCACGTGCCAGAACAAAGCTGAAAAATGCTTTTAGGAATATAAGACATCCAGCACCCAGGAGGATATTAAGATCCTCAGAGTCTGCCATCCAATCAAAAACAAGCAAGATAATACAATTCATAATGAGAAGAAATACCCAATGATTGAAACTGACCCAGAATTGATGCAGATGATAAAATTAGAAGATACAAGCATTAAAACTGCCATCGTAAGGAAATATCTAATGTTCCAGAATCCAGAGAAAAGGCTGATCATGTTAAGGAGGTGTGGAAAATGAA